TAGGTAAAGTTGCTTGGATGGAAACCCTCCTCTGTCTCCCATAAATAAAATGGTAAAATATGATGAAATTCTCATTTGTATATAGAGAGGAGAAGAATGGGGTATGATGATTCATTTCTGTGTGGAGGTTCACATACATTCATCACGGGTCGGCCGAATCCAAATGCAGCTTCTTCAAACTCGGCCCATTATCTCGCTAGGTTCGGTATATTATGTCTTTCAGCTTGACCCATATATAGTATCAAGGATATGTACTGGCTTTTAGGTTTTAAAAAAAAACTTTTGAAAAAGAGGGAGAAAAATAATTTTTATTTTGAATTTCTTATTTTATTTTAGTTTTTGGTTTTTGTAATATTTATAAATCTAAATAATAAAAAATTTCATTAAAATAATTTTCTGTTATAAATAAAATATATTTATGGTGGAGTCCACCACTATTATTCATACCGACTTACTGTTCATATATACGGTACTGTTCACACTGACCGTATACGTGAACAGTAACTTCTGGATTTCTATAAATAGGTCATTTGGTTCCTCTAAAAAAGAGAGAGTAATAAGAAATAAACTTGTTCTTCATTCTTCTAAATATATCAGCACGAGCGCTCTTCTACAACCAAAAGGTAAGATAATTTATCTTTAATACTAATATTTTTGTTCTTATGATATATATATATTCATTGATGCCTGGTGGAATTATCCCCAAACTATATATGAATACCGATATTCTTTATAATTAATTTGTGGACGACTATGCCACCTCGATTATTATTCATGGATGGTTATGCCCCCTTAATTATTAATCTGGACAGCTATACCACCTTAATTATCTCGTTATTGGACGGTTATGTCGCCTTAATTATTTATTCGTTATTGGACGGTTGTATCGCCTTAATTATTAATTTGGACGACTATGCTGCCTTAATTATTTATTTGTTATTGGACGGCTATGTCGTCTTAATTATTAATATTGGACGGCTATGTCACCTTACTTATTAATAAACTATTATGTTTATTATTTATGGACGGCAATGCCACCTGAAATATTTTGCTTCTACAAACGGCAATGCCACCATATATAATCAGGATATTACCTAATCTATATAAATTTATATTCACCGTATAAAATATTACCATATATAATATAAATTTATAAAAGTTATTTATACAAAAAATAATATAAACGTAATCTAATAAATATATTAGTGATAAAAATTTATATATATAAACTTTTACAAATGTTTCATATAACGATAGATTAATTATAAATTATTTGATTGCTCAATAATTAGTTAATTATAAACATAACACGATCAATTAATTTTACAAAATAGTTTAACAATTCGTTTTGATAAATTATTTTGTGTATAGTTTATAATATAAATTGATAAAATAATTTATAAATTTTTCAAAATTTATTTTTCTCTAACGGCTATATTTAAAAAAAATAAAAAATAAAAAATCAAGTTTTGGCTCCTCCTTAATGACTAGGAATAGTAAATTTTACCCTATAAATACACCTATCCATTCACTTAAACAACTCACACCAAATCATTTCATTCTCTTCTCTTCTCCCACGAAAAAAAAAATCTCTCAAGATGAATTTCATCAAAATTCTCTTTGTTTTAGCAATTTTAGCAGCAACATTTAGTATTTTTTCCGATAAAAATCCCGACCCACTTTTGTTTTCAATTTGCATTGCGGTCTTACCTCTATATGTTACTAATTATAGCAATTTATATGTAATAATGTATTTCACTATAATGTATTATCCACGGTAATGAATAAAGCTAATGTATGACGTATTTTTTTGTTTAGTCATAATGACAAGAATGGCAAATATCGAGTTTGAGGTCCTCGACATATCGGAAAACAATTATTTATCATGACAATTGGATGTTGAGTTGCATCTCGAATCAAAAGGTCTTCATGATGATTTGAAAAAGGAATATTAGACAATCAAAGATCCTGCAGATATTTGGTTAAAATTAAAAGACCGTTTTAAAAATGGTGATCCTCCCCAAGGCAAAATATGAATGGATGCATCTCCGATTTCAAGATTTCAAGAATGTCAGTGAATATAACTCAGCAATGTATCGAATTACCTCGATTCTAAAATTATGTGGAGAAAACAGTCACTGAAAATGAGATGTTGGAGAAAATATTCTCAACTATGCATGCCTCGAATATTATACTCCAACAACAATATCGAGAAAAAAGGTATACAAAATATTCAAAGCTTTTATCATGTCTTCTATTGGTTGAACAAAATAAAGAGCTATTAATGAAAAATCACGCGTCACGACCAACTGGATCTATATCATTCCCTGAAGCGAATGCTACAGAAAACAAGTCATTTCCTGAAGCAAATGCTATAGAAAAAACAACATTCCTTGGAGTGAATGTTATGTCTTATAATAGCTGAGGACGTGGTTATTTTCGAGGTAGAGGCTGATGTAAGCACAACGATGGATGGTTAAAAACAGTCCTTAATGCGATCACCCGCACTTCGGATCGAAGGCACTTGAACTCACGCAAGGAAATGAAGGATGGTTTTCGGTTGTTAAAGGGGATAGCTTTAGGATCAATCACAGGCCTAGCTTGGCACTCAAACTCAATCCTAAAGTAGAGGAATGAATGGAAAATCGAAGGATAGGGTCTCGAACAGACCAAGACACGATTGTCGCACAAACCGAGCACAAAATCGGACAAACCGAGAAGGAGTGATTAAACTCGACAAAGAGAAACTTTCATTCAACAAATCTACACGAAATGGAGTTCTTACAACATATTTATAGAGGATTAAGTAGGTAGCAACAGCTAGAAATACATTAATGATCAATCTACATGCAAGGTAGGTGGAGCCTTGGTCATTAATGGTGGTGGTTGAGAAGATACTAGCTGTTGGAGGTTCCTTGCAATCTAAGAAGCTTCCTTTGATGACTTGTCTTGACTTGGATGACACTTAATCTTGCAAGGAGATGAGGTTTCACGTCTTGGTTCATCCGACGGGAATGGAGCTCGTGTTTTGGCTCGAGTCAATGGTGGTTCGGCCCGAAAACCTAGAGATGCATCCTTCGGTTTTTGTACAACCATCCTTGGCTCTTCTTGGATGTGGATCACCTTGTGATTTGATAGCTCGTCCTTCTATGGTTGAGATCCTAGCTCTATGCATTCCGTTTGAGCTCCTAACTCCATGCCTTAATTTCGTCTCCTCCGAGCTCTCGTCCAAGTTTTTGTCCAATGCATCGCTAGTGGCTACGATGTCCTCATCAGAGGCCAAGGCCGAGGTTGAGGATGCGGTCGTGGTACCAACCGAAGATGAATCAGAGGAGGTGATCAAGAAAACTCATCCCAAAACTATAATTTTAACAGTAATAAAGGGGGAGCACATGATCATCCAAACAAGAGGATGAAAGAAAGTACATGCTACTGGTGTAGAATGACGGGACATTGGTCGCGTACTTGCCGCACCGCTAAACACCTGGTAGAACTTTATCTGAAGTCGATTAAAGAAACAAAAGTGAAAGACATAGAGACCAATCATGTCATGAGTGATTATGATGATGATGCTAGTGGTGCTAAAGATTTTGCACACATGAACCTTGCTGATGATTTTACCCATCTTGAAGATGGAGCCGGTTATGAATAAAAACTATATAAATATTTGCATACTTCGTATAATCAATCTTATCTACATATGCATTTTCATGTATAAATAATTTCATGATATGTTGTGCTTTGTATCACTATTTTTACTTCATAAGTTAGTAATGTTATAATTATGTATTATTAATATATCTATTTTTTTTAATGATTGTCATGTTGTTTTGTTTTGAGAGAAGTAGTAAGAGGGTCCATTGTAAATTTAAAAGAAATCCATAAAAATAAATTTAAGAATTAAGATCCAACTAATAGAAAAGGTATATAACATGGATTTCTCCCATCTCGCCCAAAGAATCTTCACTTTATCTTTTTTTTGGTATTTATGCTTTCTTTCGCTTTGGCCAAGTGAGTGTTCTTGAAATTCTGTCAACAGCAGATCCTTCTTAGAGCAAACCAACACAAAATCCCTTTTTCATCGAGCCCGAATTCTATCTTATTATCTCACGAGTAATGAATCCCGGGTACCCGTGAGATAGGGTACTCGGAAACCCGCGGGTGTCAGGTAAAAATGCCCAGCCCTAGTTGCTACAAGCTAATCATACCAAAGTCATCACGTTACATGAGGCGAGCCGAGAATCATGTTGTGATCACTATCCCAACATATTCAAAAGTCTAGTGGAATACCTATCGACACGACGCCAACAATATTATTTGAAGATAATGTTGCGTGCATTGTACAGACCAAGGAAAGATTCATCAAAAGCGATAGAACAAAACATATCCCTCGAAGTTCTTCGCATACACCCAGGGGCTTGAAAAGAATAAGAAGATTTCACCAAGGCCCTTCCGACAATGGTGTTCAAAAAACATGTACATAATATTGGGATGCGTCATATATGGGATCTTTGATGTCTTGTTTAGGGGGAGCGTGTAGTTGTACTCTTTTTCCCTTATCAGGTTTTATCCCATTGGATTTTACTGATAAAGGTTTTAACGAGGCAGCACCGAAATACGCAACTGTGTTTTTACCAACGGTGGTTCCAAGGGAGAGTGTTATAAATAAAATATATTTATGATGGAGTCCATCGTTACTATTCATAGTGACTTACTGTTCATATATACAGTACTGTTCACACAAACCGTATACGTGAACAATAACTTCATGATTTCTATAAATAGGTCATTTGGTTTCTCCATTTGTATACTTCCAAAAAAGAGAGAGTAATAAGAAATAAACTTTTCTCCATTCTTCTAAATAGAGTTTTCGGTTTATAGTTAACGATATAATATTCAGATCGTTAATATTTCTTCCGGTTTTATAACATTTTCCAGATTTTTAGAAAACTTTTAAATTTTTCCAAAAACATCTCCCATTTCAACGGAGAATTCCGTCACACATTTTTTTCGAAGCAAAAAGTTAGAGAGAGAGATACTCTTTTCGGGATCAAAAAGTTTTGAGGGGGAGTTATACTGTTGAAAACTAAATACTAATATTGATTTTTGACCTAGATCGGACACCGCTAAGCTTTCCTCGTTCTCTGTAGTTTTTGTCTTCGATTCGATTCGATTGTTTGTCTCTCTTTGTTAGGGTTTTGAGGTCCTTTTCGAGCTTGTATCTGTGGGGGGATTTGAATCCTGAGGGTTTCGACGCCACCTTACATTCTGCCGACGAGATTCAGTCGGAGGATCCAAATGCCGCTAGAATTCGTAAGCTTCCTCTCAGGGTTCGAGTGTCTGTGCTCGAATCAAGTACTCCTCGCAAATTTGCTGGGTTTTGTCTCTTCGCTGCAAATTTTAAAATTTGTTTGGAATCGTGGTTAAGTGGTGAATCTGTAATGTTGCTTAGAACTGTGAATTGTTGGAGAAGAAAGAGACTAGGATTGACAACGAAATGGCTCTACGTACTATCCTTTCAACAAATGCTTTTGGTTACTGGTTTTAACCTTAGGATAATTGCATGTTACGTAATTGATGGCAGATGCCACAGTGGTAGTTATAGTCTTCTATCCAACCTGGTAAGAGAAGAAATTGTTCTTGCTCTTAGTTTTGCTGGTTGACGTGCAATTTCTTCATTTTCAGTTGCTTGAATTTTTTTTTTATGCATTATGCCTTCGTCTATTGCTTGTGCTTAGTCAAATCTGCAGTGAGTTTCGGATTTTTTTATTAATAATATTCTACCCTGTTGTTGAATATGCACCTTTACATTCTCAACTTCTCTCTCCATTTTCCCTGACATGGTTTTTGTTTGATTTAGTATGTGAACAGGCGTATACTATGACACAGAGCCTGTAACCCAACAGCGATGGTATAGGTGTTCTTCAATCCAAAACTGGTTTGATGTCGGTGTCTCTGTGATTAAGGTACTTTTCTGTGATCTTGATTGGTATATGTTCATGTTGTTCTAATACATTATCCTTCACCCTTGCATCCTTGTTTTTGCATACAGTTGCGTGAAGATGTCCCTATGCTTATGATCACATATATTACTGTTTGACTTTTTCCTCTACTGTTTGTTTTTTTCCCTCTCTGTTTCCGACGTAGAGGCAGAGAAGTCTGGTCGTTCCTTCTTCACCAGTTCCAGACTTCCAGTAATCCCAATGACAATAAGAAGAAGTGATCGTGTCAGAAAAAAGAAATTCCTTACCAATTCTGATCCTGCAATTCATGGTATCCATTCAATTCTCTCTCTTTGTCTTTTATTTGGGTTTTTCCACTATGTTTGTTTCGTTTTTTTTTAATCATTAGTGATGTGGGGATTTGGGTTTAAGGGAGTTTTCATCGAGAAAGTCGTGTTTTTTAGCTGGGTTTTTCTTGTCTTGACGATTTTGCTTTCTGTGGCGTAGATGCGTTTACTCTAAAATGTATGTAGGGAGTCGTGTTGTATTAGTACTCCTGGGGCATAATTTGTCGATACATCCGGCGTTTTAGAAACCCTAGAAAGCATGGCTTGGTCACTTATTTCAGCTCTTAGCATGTGATGGAAGTTTAGGTTTTCATTTGAAGTTTTGTGATGAAGAATTGACTTGATAGGTTTTTCATGTAGTTTCAGCATCGATACAGTTGGGATTGATCGTAGGTGATGAAAGATGGACAATTTGAGTATTGCGTTAGGGGAAAGAGGACTTTTTGTGTTGACTGTGATATATGTGAATGCTGTGTGTATTTTGACAGAGATCGATGACGAGCCATATGCAAAACACAGGACATGCTGGAGGCATATCGCTGCACATATGAGTGGTTTAAAAAAGAAGTTGCCTATGAAAGAGTTGGATAGATATAAACTGACAGCTCCTTGTTTCTACGAGATGTGTAAGCACTCTGAAAGATCTCCAAGAAGAATCAAGTGCAAGTATTTAGTCTCTAAGCTACGGAAGAAGCTGGATTCCAGGGTATTTGGACTTTACTTAGAGTAAGTATTAATATTACTTACTGATTCTTCCATAGTTCTTAAAACTTCGTTGCATATTGTCTGTGACATCTAGATTTGATATATGGTCTCACAGAGAGTTTATGCAACTATCATAGCTTAACCCTACTCATTTCCTCTCATTGGTTCAGTTAAGTTTCCGAACTTTTTTTTTTGTAGAGACTTGTGGAAGAGCTTCTCAGATGATAAAAAGAACCCCTTTATGTACTTGGATTGTCTATGGTTCAGCATGTATACGACTGCCCATCTTCGAAGCAATGTTCTGACATGGATTCAGACGAAGCATATTTTCTCGAAGAAGTACGTGTTTGTTCCCATCAACCGTTGGTTAGTACCTTTTTACCGTATAAGTTGCTCAAATGTCTTGAAATTACCTGTCATCCTTACCAAGAAATGCGAGTTTTACGTTAGCCAAAGTGATTGTTGTTAGTGTTACCTCAGGAGCCATTGGTATCTGTTGATATTTTGCAATTTTGATGAGAATCTTGAATCGCAAACTGGGAAGAAAGCATTCATGTTGCTGCTTGATTCACTACAGACAGCCGGCTCAAGGCAGCTTGAACCTGACATAAGAAGGTGAGTTCTCCCTTTTTTTGGTGGAAAGAAGAGTATTGGGGGGAATATGATAGAACCCACCCATTAATAATGGGCCCAACAAAGTCTCAAAGCCCATGGGTAGAACTCACCCCAAAAGAACCCACCCATTATTAATGGGTGGATTCTATCAAATTGGTATCAGAGTCAACCGATCCTCAGACATGCAGACGACGCGGCGAGAGAGGAACGGTCGGGAGAGGAGCACAAAGGGTGCGTAGCCGCCAACGACCGAGAAGCCGCCAGCGCCGTGGTCGTCGCTGTCTAAAGGGGGCGGTATTGTTAGAGTTCCACATCGGAAATATGTGGGAACAATTGAGTCAATATAATACCATGGACGCCCTCCCCCAACAAGCTAGCTTTTGTGGTGTAGTTAGAGCCTAAACCTTATTAATTGGTTTAGATCCTAACTCCACCACAAAAGCTAGCTTAAAAGTGGAGGTTTGACCCTTACTTATATATTGGCCCAAATCCCTCTCATTTTCCAATGTGGGACACTTATCAATACCACCCCCTTTAGACAGCGACGTCCACGGTGTTGGGGCAAATCTGGTCGTTGGCAGCTTCTCGGTCGATGGCAGCTTCTCGGTCACTAGCGGCTTCTCGGTCCATCCCCGACCGTCCCACAACCACCGAGTCGACCGCATGTCCGCAAGAGAACGGCCCGTCAAAGGGCCACCGGAAAGTAGAGAGTTAGGCTCTGATACTAATTAATAAGGTTTAGGTCCTAACTCCACCACAAAAGCTAGCTTGTTGGGGGAGGGTGCCCATGGTATTATATTGACTCAATTGTTTCCACATATTTCCGATGTGGGACTCTAACAGAATATTCTGATGAAATTCGGATAAGTTTAAATTCTGTCGTTCAGATTCGTGTTGGATATATACAAAACGGAGGGGAGAACCCAGAACTTGAGTTTGGTTTCCAAGATTCCTCTCTTTGTGCCAGAGGTATGACCTAATTTACCGAGTTTTTTTAATGTTCAAGTAAACTTTAACCTTCGTTTAGTTCTCTGAATTTTACTCGAATCTTGTTACCGTTTTACCCCGAATTCTCAGAATCCAACACTGTTTCTACCTGTAAACCCTAAGCTTCCATTGATTCATTTTGGAGGGTTGCTCTCTCGGTTGTCCAGGTTCCGCAGCAGAGAAACGACGTAGAATGTGGCAGTTTTGTTCTCTACTACATAAATCGGTTCATAGAAGATGCCCCTGAGAGCCTCAACCCATATTTTGTAAGCCTAAATCTCTCGTCTTTTCTTCTCGTTTTCATGCTATGAGCGAGCGATCAGCCGCGGGAATCTTGAAATGAAATTGCAGATGAACAAGGACTGGTTTGGCCACGAAGCATTGGACGATTTCCGCAACAAGCTCGATTCTTTAGGAGCCATCGTGTAGGCAGCAAAGTAGAGAGTTCTGATAGAGGATCGATTCTGAATACAGTTAGTGGTCAAGTAGACCGGTAATGGTCAGGGGATTTTCTCGGGAAAATTTACGATTTTCCGTGTAACCGAGTCTGGTTTCTTGTGCAAATTCCGGTCTCGCTTGTTTCGTAATTCCTTCTTGGGGATGAGTTTGTATGAACTTTTTAGAAAATTACCTTTACACCCCAAACGTTTATTTATTCTCCTGCACAATCCTCCAACTATGTACATATTTCAAAAAGTCCCAAATTTTAACATCTATTATTTGCTTTAGGTGAAAATTGTATTAACATCTATTTGAAAACACCAACTTTTTTAGAAATAACGTTGAATTTAAAATATTTTCGAATAAGCAAAAAAAATTCAAATAATTATGTTAAAAATTGGTATCCTTTAAGAAATATCGGGAAAAGTTGGGGTTTTTGTGTGAGGAATTTCGAAAATTGTCTGTGCTTATCTGTCTAGTTTGGTTTTTATCTGTTGCGATTCGATTCAACGAGATCAAGTAAGTGAATTCAAGTAGGAAAAGGAAACTATTTCTTTTTTTCCTTTTTTCTTGCAGGATTTCACCTCCTCGAGTTCTTTATATTTACCCATCTTCTCCCAAAAATTTTCTCAGCAACTCAAGAAAATTTTCCTGTCTTGTGGGTCCTTACAAATTCTCAGAATGGAGGCTACCACGTTGTCTGAAAGCGAACGACTGAGATTGGTCTCATCGTTTCTTGGGTTCGCTATCGGACAAACCCCCGAAGCCGCTCGTTGGTTCTTGCAGGCAAAAAGCTGGAATCTTGACGAAGCCCTCTTCTTCTTCTTCCAATCTGTAAATCAAAACCCACGTAACGATCATTCGCCTGCGAGAAGTACGAATCTTCGGCATGAACAACAGATCTCCTCGACTTCTCCTCTCCGCCTGTTGTTCGATGGGACATTCACAGAGGCGAAATCTGCTGCTTCTCGTCAGGAAAAATGGCTTCTGCTGAGTCTGCAATCTCGCTCTTGCACGCTGAATCGAGACACGTGGTCGAACGATTCCGTCTCTCGGATCATCAAAGCCAACTTCGTGTTCTTGCAGGTCTACGATGATACAATCGAGGGTCGAAGCGTATGCTCATTATACCAGCTCCAAACTACTCCTGTGGTGCTTCTGATCGATCCCACCACAGGCCAGCAGATGCATTTGTGGTCTGGAAAGATCGATCCTCGGGCCTTTCTCGAGGATTTAGTACCGTTTATGGATCACGGCCCTCGGGAATGTTCCTCTTCTTCTGTATCCCGGAAACGCCCAAGAATGGATCCAATGGTTGCCAAACAAGTTACTGATTCTCTGAGGAATATGACTTTAGAAGCCGTCTTCCCTCCTCTCCCGGAAGAACCACAGGGCAGCTCCAATGGCGGTTTTCTGTGTAGAGTCGGCGTTCGTCTCCCAGATGGGCGAAGGCTAGTGAGGAGCTTCAACAAGAGCGACCCTATTCAGCTTCTCTGGTCATTCTGCTATTCAGAGCTTGAGGGATGGGAGGGGAAGCCACTGAAGCTGAGGTTAGCTATTCCTGGAGCTTCCAAGACTCTCGAGTACGGATCTAACCTGACGTTCGAGCAATCCGGGCTTGAGAATTCGTTGATAACAGTCACTACTTGGGACTGAGGATTCTTCTCCTTGTCTCTGCCGTTATGGTTACAAGTGCACTATTGTAATATTAGGGTAGGAAGGTTTTCGTGTGTTGCACTCTTTCATCATGGATAAATCAAAGTGACCGTTAATGCTATTAAATAATTTGATTTCAATAAAAACACAAAACGCTTTCTATGCGTTAACGGTAATCCTGATGGATACGGTTAGATATCCGAAATTTAGGGTTATCTGAATCCGAACTCACTGTCCAAAATTTTTACAATAAATATTACCTGAATTCGAATCCATTCTGTTTGGGTATCTGAAAATTGGACATATGAGATAATTTTCGTTATCCATGGTGTATTAGAATCCGAAATTTTAAAACAAATTTTAATAAAAATATAATATATATCATTTGAAGGATCGACTTAGTTTAACGGTAAGTTCACTTGCCATGAGGTCTGAGGTCGCGCGATCAAATATTCCTATACATAAAAACAAATAGGGGTAAAATTCCTAATATATATATATATAAATTGAGGGTTGTTCCTTTATAATACATATCATATAAGATATATATATATATAAATTGTAGTTTATATATAAATATAAAAATTTTACAATAGAATAGACAAAAAACAAAAAACAAATATTAAAAAAAGTCATATATTAAAAATGGTAATAAACTTAGATTTAGATTTTTATATAATATAATTAAAATATAGAGATAACATTGTATGATTCTTTATATACCCGCACCAAATTATCCATCTCGTATTTCATTACCTAAATCCAAATCCGAATTTCAGATCTTTAATTCTAAACATTATATCCGATCTCATCTCATTAGATGTATGGATATTGAATTTCGAATATCCAACATATAGATCTAGTTGATTATCCGAATTTTAGTTTTTTTGTCCACTATAGATGACACTTATGTCGTGGTTTCCTTTCTTAATATATGTACTGAAAAATTCGGACCCTCAAAGAGTAAAACGAAAAAAATTAACCAGTTCTATTCACTTGAGAAAAATAGTCAAATACAACTCACTTTTTGTTAGAACTACTCAACACCAGATGAAACTCCTCCTGAGTTTCAACTCTCTCTCACAATGAATTCTACCGATCAAAAACCTTACCAACCCAAACGCTCACTAGAGGAATGGAGATTTTCCATTAGGTCTCCCCCTCAGATCTACGCCCAAACATTCATCAGAGAAAAGAGATTTACCTAATCTGTCTCTTATTCAGATTCACACTCATCAAATAGTGAGTTATCACTCACTAACAGAAAAACTTTTTTAGTAAAATATGTTTTGTTCTCCATGAGAACTGATATACAACTTGTATCTCCTTTATATATGCTTCTCCAGTTCACCTTAGATCTCCACGAATTGATTTGATAGAATCCTCCTTGATTCTCTTCGATTTCATCTATATCTTCAAGATCTCATCTTTATCTCTATCTCTTCAAATCTTTGACTTTATCTCCAACACCTTGTCTCTATCTCAAATCTCCTCAAATCTTCTTAGCTTTGATTCTATCTTCATCTCTTCAAGTCCAATCTAAACTTCGTGACTCTATCTCTTCAGATTGTTTTCCCTAAAATCTCTCCAAGTGGTTGACATTGAGTCCATCTCAATCTCTTAGTATTTGACTTTTTCTCCAACTCTTCAGACTTACTTCAAAATATCTCGAGCTGTGTCTCGCCAGATTTCTCTTCTGAAATCTCTCAAATTTGTTGAACCTACATTATCTATTTAACAAACAAAACAACACATTGTAAATAATTGCACTAATATATAGAATTAGGGGATTTGGAAGAAGAAAACTAATAAAGTGTATGGTGCGTTTTTTTTTAACTTCTTGTGTTGTAAATGTTTTTTTAGGATTTTTGTTTAAGAACAAAACATCTAGTGAAGTTAATCGTTTTTTGTGCTAAAAAAGACTAATACAAAGATCAGTTTTGTAATATGTGTGTGTGTGTCCTTTATATATATATATATATACAAGAGTTATATGTATATATTATTGTTCGTCTAAAACTCTATGAATCTCTCATTTTGGGTTTTGTCCGAAAAAAAAGTCGTATTTGTTGTGATACTGCTATGGATGAAGCTGTTTGTATTTGACGACTGTTGCTTTTTCACATCTAACAAAGTTGGACGCTTTAGTCATTTGAAAATTTCTAATAATAATAAAATAATAATAATAATAATAATAATAATAACAATAATAATAAAGCAAACTTGCTATATTTAAAACGTTTAATGGTGGACTGCGACAATAGTCACATATTTTTTTTTATAATTTAAAAGTTCACTGGATTTTCAACTCTATATATCTTTTAAAAGATAGAAAAAATTTAGGTGAATACTCATTTTTAAGTGAGACTTCAACCTCACTATATTTTTCAGAAGATCTAAAAAGTTTAGATGAATATTAATTTTAAGGTGGAGACTCAAATCCGAATTGATAACAACCACATATTTGTAAATCACCACTCATCAATATAAAAAAATAAACATTCTATAATAATACAATAGGATTTATTTATTTATTTATTTTCAAAATATAGTGTGAAAGGTATATAATATTATTGATGCATTTGTACAAAGTCAAAATGAGCTAATAATTTATTAACCGTGTGTACAATAATAGTGTTATTAGTGTCGCCGTATTAAGTAAATATCCTAAACACGGTGGAGAAGGCAGGAGGAACTCGACTTTTCCTTTTTCCTTTTTTTTTTGTCTAATAAATAATTGAAATCTTTTTTGGTTTGTATGGTTGCTGGTGCCGTTGTTGTCAACGACGACGTGTTTGCCTCTTTGTCTAAATCTCCCCTTTCCTCCTCTATATTTGCTTCTCCTCCTCCACCACCACCAATCCATCTCTCTCTCTCTCTCTCCCCACGCATTTCTTTGTTCTGGAAACAAGAAAAGTCCTTGCCTTTTTCCCATCCATGGCGACGGTAAGAGCAACGGATCCATCCCCTTCTTCTCTGATCTCCCATTGCCTCATTTGGGATTCAGATATTCGTCCTTCTTGTTCATGAAACGAAAAAGTTTACATCTTTTTGGGCGTCAATCTTCATGATCGATGCATATGACTTTTTGGGCTGACGGGTTATTGTGTGTGTAGCAGGATAAAGGGAGGCCATTGCCCAAGTTTGGGGAATGGGACGTGAGCAATCCAGCCTCGGCCGAGGGGTTCACAGTAATCTTCAACAAGGCTCGGGACGAGAAGAAGACAAAGAAAACCTCAGTTGCAGGTCCTGACCTGGTTTCCCCTCCGAGAAACGAAGACCCTAATCCTGCCCAGCACCATGGTTCCCACAACTCCAAATCCAAGGTACCTCCTCTCTTTCTTTCTTTTTTTCCAAATCCATGGATGACGATGATAATGAATCATCAACGAGAAAAACAAAGAAAACCGTGAAAGAAATGACAAGGGGTACTCACCAGTTTTGGTTCTTCTTCTTCCTCTGGCGTGCAGAAGAAATGGCTATGCTTCCGTTAACTGCAGCTACTTGTCAGAACCTGCGAGGAGGAAGCAGAAGCGGTGAGAAGAGAGCAATGTCTCGACCCAAAAAGCAAAGCATGTATCTTGCCAGCCAGACTGATGCTTTACGTCATCTCGGACGTCGTCCTTCAGTTTTCTGCATCTCTCTCCTACTTGTTGAGCCTTTTTTTTTGTTTCCCTTTGTTTTTTTCTGCCCATAACGGGTATATGAACGTACATTCTTCTCTGGTTCCTAATACGAATACGACCTTGATTTGATACAAGGATGGACCGTTCATGTCCTTCCAGACATGTTTACAATGCAATATATGAACGATCAAGCCTTGCACTGCACAACTTTACATCCCTAACGAGGCTAGATTGCAGTTTCAAAACCTCAACTCAAAGATACTACAGTCCAAGGCAATGAAAACCAGGACCTGTGGACCAACACGGAATCACAAAGATTTGGGCAGCTATAGAACCGCTTTCATGTACCAAATCAAATCAGGGCAAGATGCAGAACACCCAGATACACTTGCAGAAAGAAAATATCACCTAAAGAGAGAAGCAAGAAGAAAAGTGAACCTCGGAGCAAAAGACAAGTATCATATAACAGAAGCTGGAGAACAAAAATTCTTTGGCCAAGCCCTGTAAAGAAAAGCACGAGATTGGTTTTGCCAGAAAGACATGTAGTTTAGATATCCATAATATACCTAAATATTTCTCAAAAAGATTCAAAAACCACAATGACCGAGTTGATGCTAAGAACTGCAGGGCCCTTGAAGGCAAAAAAAGGCAAAAGTAGTCCTTCCGTATGCGCAACTGAATGTGAAGACATCAATTCCAGCCATCACTTTCGTTCCCATTGGCATCGACTTGAGGAGCTTCCATGGCTTGGGGGCTACCTGTTGAGCATGGCGGCTGTACCGAATGATCGAATTTACAAGCTGGTCCAAACTTGCAGATGCCATAGCGACTGTAGTGTGCACACAGGCTCTGGTCCTGGAATTCAGACAACTAGTTAGTCAAATCTTGAAATCAGTACTGTTTACCAAGCATCTAGTTTATACATAGGTAAACAACAAAACTAAAGCCACTGCCTTTTGAGTTTTAAACTGCTGAGGGTTGAGAAATTTCGATACCATATATACAATTTGTTTAGTTTCTTTTCTAACGAACTTGAAATTGATAAAAGTTCAGACCTTATCACTTCACAATATTTGGATTCAGGACTTTATATAAACCTTTGCAGGAATGGAAACCCAAGACTAAATTAGAAGTGCAAGAATTTAGAACAAGAAATCAGTAAATATAAAAAGGGCTCAAGTTGTGAATCAGATATTACATAAATCATGTTTTGATGAAAATCCTTCATAAAGACCATCTTCTTTGCATAAAAAAGGGACAATGGGAAAGGGATACCACGTTATAAAAAAGGATGGTAAATGGCTTTCTAATTCGATCACAGGAAAACCATGGAAGATTATGGAACTCACAGGTCTTAGAGGTAAGCCTTTGTCATTGAGAGCACATGGAGGTTGCTTCGGCAATCTATTCTTCGGGTGATGATATTTGCATTTGTATTTGAACTTGCAGTCCCCAGTTTTAAGATAATAACTGCACTCAGGTTGGTCTGGACGTTCTGGGAATTCATCGACAGGCATTTGCAGTTGGTATTGAGGATATATACTTGTTTCACTCGATGAATTCTTCACCAGGTAAGGGGAAGCTGGAAGCACACTCCTTTCGGGTGAATATACAGAAGCCTATTCAAATAAGAAGGACGAATTAAGACTCCAAAAGCAAGATGGCAAATCTTTATTGCACTCTAATTGTGTAATGACACTGTTTTAGCAGTGAATCAGAAAAGCTGAGGTACTACCTGATACCCAGTCCACTCGGAAGTTTGAGACGGAACTCTACGGGACTGCGAAAACATGACTGGCATAAAGGGAGCTGTACCATTCAAATGCCTCGACGAAGACCAAGAAGTTGAACTTGCTTGGGATGCAGCTTTTGGGGAAAAAGATCCAGCCGATCCACCATTACCATAGAAAGAGGGAGATTCATTTCCTCCAATAGTTGTAGGATCAGGATGATTAAATTTGCAGTCAGCTCCAAACTTGCAAGATCCATTGCGCATGTAGAATGGGCACTCCTTCTCTCCCTGTCAGTAGTTTACGCCATTGAAGCTTACACAAGACTCCGGGAACAGAATACCAGACGCTACACGGAGTCTATTAAATGAATAAACTATGGATAGCCAGTCTCACTAGCATTTATATAAAATTACCAGTCGTATGGGAAGGCCAAGGAAGTTAAGCTCAGATACAAGGGAAGTCTTAGACTTTGAGTGGCTGAATCTACAAGATTCTCCGTATTTGCACCCTCCAGTTCTGAAGTAATACTGAAAATCTCGGGCAGGAAATAGGTCCACATGATTGGATCAGTACATTGTCATTCCAAATAAAAAGGGGAAAGGAGAGAACAAGCACATACATTCAAGAGAAAAAGAAATGACAGGAGGATAAGCAGACATGCCAAAGAAGAACATTCCTTCCACCATCTAAAACATAGCATAGATATACTTTTGTAATCATCATAACCAGAACGAAGTGCATATAGTACTTGAACGCTGTTCATCATTATCATATGTCTAGCAAATACTCAATACCGCTTTCCGATTTAAATAGATTTCTAATCCTAGATGGAGAAGGATTCATGCGGCCGATCCCAAATGAACTTGGGAATGAGGCGATGTTGTTGTTGTTGTCTAATCCTAGACGGAAGAGAAACGAAAACCAAAATACAAGTGGGGGACAATAGATCTATGAATTTACCATCATAGCAAGATAAACAATCCAAAAGGCGAATTACAGAGAAAACAGAGAGGTAAATCTCCAGAAGCAAATAAAGAAGGAATTTAACCTTGCACTCTATCTGCCTCAGCTTCTCTGTGTCATCATCTTTTTCCTTTGCATTATCCCTAGAAGCCTTCAAAACAATGCCATGTTAAAATAGATCAACAAAGGCTTTTTCTTGTTCTTTTACTCCCTCAAATACTTACGATTCTAAATCAATACAGAAGCAACCAAAACAAGAAACAAAACCGAGGTACAGGGCTCTTCCATCAAAAGCAAATGCAAGAGCATCCAAGAAAACGACTCGCATATGAACAAACATATACATACAAGCAAACACACACACACATGCATAACCACATATTTTAATTGAAAAAAGAGAGATTTTTTTTTTTGCGTCCCAACTCCCAAGTATCATACCAACTATAAATCCCTATAATGAATATAAACCCAGAAAAAACCACTCAAATATCCAATTAACTGAAGCGAGCAAACGTCTGGCACTCGAAAATTTCAAAGCGTGAGTCATCCCCAAAGATCAAGCAATTAAAATCGTAAGTGTGAACTGTAACACAAACACAAACATATGGAGCAGAAAAGTACTTGGATTTTTGTTCGAACAGGGTGGTTGAACTTGCAACTCGACCCATATTTGCAACTGCCAGTTCTCATATAAAACGCGCAATCCTCGGCCTCCGGTCTCACTGGGTACATAGCTCTTCTCCTCTCGATCTCATTCTCATCCTCGCTCCAACCCTCATCACCATTTCCTCCTCCCTCTTCCTCACAATCGCCATCTTCGGCCTTCGAATCATTGCCCTCGATTCTACAAGCCTCAGAGACACTCATCGTCCCGCTCTGCTCGTTTGCAGTTTCGTCCAAGCCAACATTCCTGAGCTGTTCACTTAGATCAGATGAAGAGGGATCGACGACTGATGATCGAGATGCTGGCTCCGGATCGAATCCGGTGGGGGAGATTTCTTCAGGTTTGTCCATCGTTCCCTCACGATCACATCACAAATCCCTAATTTTCCCAGAGGGGGAAGAGAAAAAGTGGCTTGCTTGGTTTTGTGGAAAGTTTTGTCCTTTTTATTGCTAACGGAGGAAGAGAATCAGAAGCGAAAACCGATGCCTTTTAGGGCTGAGTGGTACTTGCATGCAAAAGCAAAGATGCGTTTTATATATTTATCGAAATTACAAATAAACCCATACATATTCCAAAATGCGAGATTATGTACTAAAGTTTCTAAATTTACAAATATTCCTCATGGTTTGAACTGTTGTAAGTAGGGGTGGATACCGACGGGTATCCGGGCTTTTTAAGGTATCCGATCTCGGCTTTAGATCCGCGGATTCTTTGAAAAGATTATTTCGATCTCGATCTCGCGAAAGTCGGATATCCGACTGTCCGGATATCCGGATCCATGAATTTTTATTATTCAAACATAAATATTAACTTTAAATACATAAAAATTCCATAAAAATAACAAAATCTATACATTTAAATATATATAAAGTTGTTAAAATTACACAATACAAATATAAATTCAATACAAACATTAAAATGCATACAAAATTGTACAAAATATATAATAAAATGGTTAGATCTTTTATAAATACTTATAACTATAGAGATATTTTTGTCTTTTTTATTGTACTCGGATATTCGAGGATATCCGACTCGTTAATTTCGAAACCCAAATTCGAACCCACTGATCAGATTTTTTGGTCTCATTTATCTCGTAAACGATATTAGGTTTTCAAAAGAATGTTTTTCATTGATAAGAGATTGTGTACATGACACAATTATATATATTTGAATATGCTATGATTTTGATAACCGAATTACAGAAAATAAGTAGAAGATTACGTAAAATATTAACACCAAATATATCAAGGAAGATATTCAAAGATATCATTCTATTATCCCGTACTCGACTTCGTTTATAACCGGATACTTGAATTCCGGATATCCGTGAGTCTCAGATATCCGCAAACCTGTGAATTTTGGATTAAAAAAACCCAGCCCTAGTTGTAAGCTTTGAGGGTAAATCTAACATCCCCATCCATGGGTGAAAGCTCCACATTATTTTGTCGCACCATGAACTGCGACTGAAAAAAAAAACAATACAATATGTAGAGAAATCATCGGAAAATATTAAATACAAAGGCTTTAAATATGTCTCAATCCTCGTCACATAATTACCTCGTATGCGGTGTTAATTCTGATCCTATTTGCATACAAAGCCACTCGAGTTTCGAGATAGCTTTCATCGTCCAAGGTTGAAATCAAATGATAAATCCATAAATCGTGTAATTATTTGGAATCATCTATGTCACTCCGTTTATTATTGACTCCACTAGATAGACAAGTGTCTTTCTGCCACAATTGAATGATTTAAATTCGTCTATATTACATATCAATTTGCAATGACTTTTCTAAATTTTATTCCTCTTTTTCTGATGCAATAATATCTCGACAACAATTATCAAATAGTACAATTTTCTCATCCCAATCGTCTTTGCATCTAGAGAGCATTACTAGCATATCTTTCAATGAAAAAATTTTCTTAACAAATTCAACAAAACAACCGTGATCCTGACCTTATGATATTTTGTTCTTTGAGTCCTTATAGCATAATATTCTAGTAATTCTCTTAACCGCTTGTGGAAAAAATCTACACTACAAGAAAAAAATACGAATTTGCGACAAAATTGGTTTCTATCCATATGACGTTGTCGCAAAAATTTGTCGGTCGCCAATCTGTCGCAATTTTGCGACGGAGTTTTACAACAGATTTGCGACAGATCATTCTGTCGCAAATATTTTTTTTATTTACAAAAAAATATAAAAGCTATATTATACATACGCATATACATATATCTACATATATATATATATTACATATATACATATATACATACATATATATATACATATTCATACACATACACATACATATACATTTACATATACATACACACATCATAACCATATAAATTTATATATACATATATATACACTTACACATATACATTACACACATACATACACAAACACATATACATTCACATACACACATACACACACGTACATAAACACAAACACATACACACATGCACATACACACATTCACATTCACATATATACACAACACACACACACACATACACATACATATTCACACATATACCCATATGTATTCACATATATACATATACATATATATTCACATATTTACATATATACACATACAAATTCACATATATACACATATATCTTAGCAAATTTTGAAGAAAAACGATTGTAGACAAAAATTTCGACAGATTTTAATTTTTTGTTGAAATTTTGAAGTCTGGAGGAGAAAGACGAAGTCACAATTTTTATTAAGTGTTGCGACAGATATATCCGTCGCAAAGGCAAAAATTCGAAATAAAAAACCGCGAAAATTTTAAATTTTTTAGCGAATATGACGGTTGGGACAGAAACATCTGTAGCAAATCTGTCACAAGAATTTGCGACAGAGATATCCGTCGCACATCTGTCGCAAAATTAAATAAAATTAAAAAATATGACAGACTTTCCGTCGCAAATAAAGTTTGTTTTTATGACGGACACGATTCTATCACATTCTATCGCACATTATTTGCAAAAGATTTTGCGACGTCAAAATTTTTTTTCGTATTCCGTCGTAAATCTGTCGTATTCCGTCGTAATTTGTGTACGACCGAATTTTTCGTCGCAAATTCTGTCACAAAAGGTTTGCGACAGAATATTCTATCGCAAAGTCTGACGCAATTTGAAGATTTCTTGTAGTGCTAGGAGGTTGACAATCAAATATAAACCACAGTTTGTACATCTTACTTGTTTTAATCGTGCGAGATATCATGTGGTGAATTGTAACTTTGATACGTTAAAATCATTGTCATGTGGCCAAAACAAAAACCAAACATCGATGACTTCAATGTATTTTATTCCTCGGTGCTCATATTAGCCTTCAAATCTCTCATGCAAGTTTCAAATTCATGCAAACTTGTTGACACTGTTGAGATTTTTTCGAAGACTAGGTTCTTTTCTTGCCAAGAAGTATCGTCCAGTGTTGAAAATGGTCATATCACCTGAAAAGATGAACATAAGAAATAGTAAACTTTCCTATCATTCGATCATTCCCTCTTTCGTACGAGATTGTTCTCTCTTGAATGATCATTCCCTCTCTCGGACGAACAATTCGTCCGGGAAATGAAAATCTCATCCGAGAAAAGGGAATGATCGTATGAGGTAAGATGTGTTGGGTCACACGAGATCCTCGCACACCGGTTCATAACCGGGCCTGGATCTGGTCCGCGGGTTTGCGTAGTGGAAATGGCGTTCAAAATATTTTTGAACCGCCCACGGACCAATCTTTATTGATGAAGAACTTCAAGAAAGAAAACTAACCTTTGAATCCTTAAATTCACAATCTGAAGGTGGCTATTGATCACAACCAATGTGTTGAAGATGTCAACACCCTCTTGAGCAGTCCACACCTTTGGGATGGATTCCAACTTTTGGAATCTTCCTTTCTAGAGCTCAAGAGATTAAATCTCTTTGTGTATGATTTCAAGAACACCTTCTTGAGTTTGAAAGAGTTTCTGCAATCTCCAAAACCTTCCCAAAGTCTGAAAGTCCGAATGATTGACAGAGAAATGCATTCCCTACTAGTTCCTACCAAGAAAAGTCGGAAAATCACACTAAGGGTTTGATTGTCACTTGGTCCGGAGCTGACCAACTCTTGGTACGCCGGACCAAGTGAACAAAATGCCGAAAATCTGCTCAGTCATGTACTTGGTCCGGAGCTGACCAGAAATTGGTCCGCCAGACCAAGCACGCTGACCTGCCGAAAATGTCGTTGGACCGCGAATCGGTGGATCAGATTCCGGTCCGCCGGACTAACCAAGTCCGACAAAAAACGCACAGGTGAACATGACTGGTCCGGTCCGCCGGACCAACACTTTGATCAGCTCCGGACCAGCCAGTCTTCCAGCCAAATCAGTCCGCCTCTCCTTTGCTTGTCTGGTCCGGCTGACAAACACTTAGTCAGCTCCGGACCAGACTCCGAAAGCTAGGAAAAATCCGATTTTTCTCGTCCGATCCTTTTTTCGTCATACACGTCCATCCCATATGTGTGTGATCCTTTAGACTTCCCCGAATACGGCAGTAAACCCGAGATCCAATCTCGCTTTTCAAATCATAAGCGGTCTCTAGCAAGACATTATGATTACCCGTATCGGAAAGAGTTAGATGTGATCTAACCGAAAACCCAGAGATAGCTCTAACGATGATCCTCTTTGTCTCACGATATCATAAATCGAAACGCAGTTCGATTGCTTTGTCGTAATCCGAGTAGACTGTAAGAGATAGATGACATTCATCTATAGTGCGACCACATATTTTTACAGTCTCACTCCTACGACGGGCCCAACGATATCTCTCTCTTTCAGAGGGACAAAGTTCCATCTTGATTATCTACTATCCACTACATGATTCGTAATGTACCCGAGCCACGTCTTTATAATCATCCGGTCAAAGACGATGTTTGGCGCAGTCAAATTACATTACTCCTCATGTTGGATACAATAGATATCTCAGGTCTGAGGATCCAAAGTGAACCATCATGTGAGATTCAAGTCATGGATAAATCCAAACGACAATCTCACGCGAGTCATCCAGTCACTTGTTCCAAACAAGTACCCATGATCGTGATCCGTATCCAATACACATGATCATCCATCACGTCTCATGTTAGTATTAATTCATCATTGCTTCCACAATGACAAGCGACTAAGGAATTTAGGATCGTTCACAACGATCTATGAATGTCATTATTTATCAAATATGCAAAATAAATAATGAACAAACAATGCATTCATCCAATGAATACATTATAATACATATGTTCTCATATCGTACGATCATCATAGAGCATCACAACCATCAAGATGTTGCACTCCTTCTGGAAAATAATGTATTCATCCCAAACGAAGATACCAGTAACCCGAATGATCATTTCCTCACCCACACTAGAATGTTGACATCCGGAAGATCAATTCATCCGGAAAATGATAATCTTGATTAAAAGAGGGAGTGATCGTCCAGG